AGATCAGGCAAGTCACCAAGACACAAGCCACAAATCTGTGGGTCTGGTCACGAGTGTCTCAGTGTGAGCGGCAGGGCTACAACCAAAGACCCGGCAACACTAAGCATCCACTCTCTTCTCGGTCAGCGTTGACTTTGACGACTTGGCCATACACAGAGAATGGACGATGGCCATTTCCCCAAGGATTTCTTGCATGGAGAACCCTTTACAGGAAGGAGACCACACAGGCGTTCCTAATTTCCATTTCAAAGAGGCTCACAAGAGTGATATGAAGGCAATGAATGGTGAGCCAAATGACTGAGAGAAGACTGCTGAGGATGGAAGCACTTGGAAACAGCTTATTAAGTGTGCAATGAAAGCTTTTGAAGAAAGAAGAGCCCAACATGCAGAAGAAGAAACCTCAGGGAGGACCCACAGCATACTCAGGACCGTTAGATACCAACTTGACATGTGAGAAGCGCCGAAAGGACCCTGTCATTCAAGAATCGGGCTCTACGGCTACACTTGCAGATGTTTAACAAGCTCACTCAGTGCAAATCTGTTGCCTCGTGAGACAAACAGACACCCAGACAGGAGTCTTGTTCATAAACGTGTCCTAAAAGGCAACATGCTAGACTCCCCAACCAAGAGTTCTAGTTTTTTGTAAGACTCCCCAATAGGCAGGCAAGGTTCTTTAAGTCATTGTGATATCTTTAATTAGACCAACTGAGTAATTATTAGACTCCCCAATATGCTTTGTGCAGTCAGAGCATATGACAGCTCTGCCAAGAGGCTGTAGGAGACTCTCAGTACGAGGCTGTGTAAAATCAAACCCAACTTGTGTCGCAGTGGTGCAAAACCAGAAAGTCCCCCACGCTTGCACGGTGCTGTTGGTATCCCTCGGCAGGTCACTGGAGGAGATGTATTTATTTCCCTTTTTTTCAACTTAAGATTTAGAAACAGTCTTCCTATCGCTGTGTTTTTAGGTGAGACAATGAGGTTTTTGACCGTGAAGTATTTTGCAATGGGCCGACTTTTCTCTGTGTGAAAGTTATTAGTTATTTGCACTGAAGTTGCCCTCGGGGGCCCTCAGAGAGATGGGGAAAACCGTAGTGACTGTCTGGATAGCCGGCAGTACACGCACATAACAAGCAGCAGTCCCTGCCCTGAACAGCTTTCAAGAGATGGTGAGAGACAAGAGATGGTGATGGATAAGAGAGGGTGAGAGAAGGGAAGCATTATTAGGGGCATTTTACAAATGAGGCAAAAGACCTCAGGAATCTTTCTGCCCATCCTGATGACCCTGGAGCTAACCTGGGAAGAGTAACGGTAAAATCCTTTTCCACCTTCACATGCTGACGTGGCACTTAGGTAGCTGCATCTGCCACTTTTGGTGCATGTGCACACTTTGGATTGCACACGCCTCTGCGCTCCCTGCATTTCCCTTCTGCGTGTGCTCAGCAGGCTACACTGCGTGGGCATATGTGTACTGCTGTGCAAGTACTGAAAACTGAATGGTGGAAAACCCTGGGGGAAGGCAGATCCTCCCACCTTTTGGCTCAGTGGCCTTATAGTCAGGGCCCTTGCCTAAGGAACGTGATATCCGGGAACTAGACCTCCTGCACTCCATAGGGTTGGCATCTTCAGCTCCTGCTTTCTAGCAAAGTGCTCTCACCCCCAGGCCACGGGCAAGGCATGGCCTTGAGCCTTCTCCAACCCCCCTCTTGAAACTGGTCCACTGGGAGCCAGGAGCAGAAGGTGCCTAGGGCAGGAACAGGGAAACGAACCAGAGGATCGGGATCAATGAGACGGATGCCGTGCTGAATAGTAGCATGCCCTGGATTCTGCGATTACCCGATGAGTATTAAATACAAGGGCGGGTAAGCCAACTTCAAGAGGCAGTGGGCAATGCCTTGTCTGTAGTCCAGGACCTTTGTTAAAGGCCTGTGGCAGAGCTGAGCATGGATCCCCTATCTCTTGGCACCAGGCTGGTGCGTTATCCCCAGGATAATTGCAACCCCAAGTTTCTCCTACATAGAGGTAGCTTGTAATAACCCAAACTCTTTTAATCTGCTTGATTCTTTCCACGCTGGTATTAAACTTGCTTTAGTGGTCTTGATATGTAGGCATGCAGTGGTGACTCTGGGCCACTTATGCTCCACGACTTCTGGTTTTATCGGAATTCACATGTGAAAACTCTCGCTTAAAAATAATGCCCTACATGACGCCTACATCTCAAAGCTGAGTGCAGGGCACAGCGAGCAGCAAGGGGGGGGGGAAATGCTTGAAAAAACACCGTCAAACCACTCTTATCCTGTCACATGCTTTTTTTCTGCATCAGGTTGCCCACCGTGGCTGCCCATAAAAATTCTTGTGTGCAGAAAAAAGCTTTCTGTACCCGGCTGCCTGAGTCTGAACCTCCTGTCTGGCAACGATACCATCAGTGACGTTATACTGTCACTTGGGCAGTGGTTTTGTATGAGAAAGACTGGATTAACTCACATTGCCGGATGTCAAAAGATCCAGCATGGCCGGTCCTCTTTCCAATATTGCCAGTAGGCAAGAGAAGGTGAAAAATGTCATTGAGATACGGGAACCTCAGACTTTGCTCCTTTGAAACTGGACACAATTAATCACCAGCTGTCTTTGGGACAAAATAACTGTGATTTGGGGCCTGGTGTCTTACCAAAGAAAGGGAACCTTCGAGCCCAGATTTGACAAAAGGGCACGTAATTAAACATTCAAGCAGTGCTGCCAGGACAAGCCTTTATTTGGCAATATGTTTCTGGGAAATGAGCTGGACAGGAACCGCAGATGAAGCAGATAACGTGATTGACATCACTACTGTATATGGTGGTGGCAGCACTTGAAGCGCTGAATGATGACAGAAAACAAGGGCACCGCTCGTAGTGACAACACACACTTCCTCGGAAACTTCTCCGAAGCCGAAAGGCCGCGCCGTCTTCGTTCTCATGGTGCCCGGGCTCTTGCAGCGCCCGTCGGGGCATGATCTGAGCCCCTGCAGTCACAAAGCCAAGCTTTAAAAAGTATCCCCAGGCTCCAAGGAGAAATGGATTGCAGGTCAAGCTGCCGGCACCGTATCATAACCACCGCTGCTCTTGCCTCTGTGTTCGGTCTGGAGGATATCAGCATTCGTTATACTGTGACTGGACGGGCAAAAACATTTTTATGTGAAACGAATCCCTATTTTATTTTTCATCTCTTGCAACTGAAATAATTAACATCTACAAACGCCATTGCTGCCCGTGCCGACTTTTCCAAATATTTTTTTTAGAAAGGGGCAGTCAATTAAACAGGCTGCAAATGGCTGTAGTTGGGAGAAGCCAGGTTTGGTTGGCCCTATTCTTTTATTCCTCTGGGTAGCAGGTCCAGCCCCTTCTTGCTGGTTTATTCTCAGGGATTTCTTAGGGCGATCTATTTTATTGGATCCAATAAAAGATATCATCAACTCTTGAACTAAATTCCACTTCCTCCCCCCACCACCATCTAGAGGAGCAAGTGCCCCCCCTGCCCTGCCAACATCTGGAGAGCCAACTCCCCCTGCCCTCGCTAACATCTGGACGACCAACTGCCCCCCACACACCTGGATGACCAATGCCCCAACATCTGGAGGAGCAACTGCCCCCCCCGGCCCTGCCAACATCTGGACAACCAACTCCCCCTACACCCCCATCTCAATAACCTACTCTTCCCCCCCCCAACATCTGGACGACCAACTCCCCCTGCCCTCGCTAACATCTGGATGACCAACTATCCCCCCCGCCCACATCTGGATGACCAACTGAGTCCAATTAAAGACATAACCCTAGGAAACCAATTGATTCTGGTCAAACCAAAGCCGCTGCTGCCCTCTGCTGCCACGAGAGAGAACGTGCCGTGGCGGCAGCAAGCAGGTGCTGGCGCTCAGAGGCCAGGGGTGCATCCTGGAGGCGCCTTCCATGCCTCCGGGGTGCTGGGGGGGGGTCCCTGATGACGCCTGGCAGGCTGGGCTGCACGTCTGTGCACCACCACCCTGCCCGGGGGAAGAGCCATGTCCCGCAGCCTGCCTGCAGAGGTGCTAAGGGACGCGCCCAAGGGCACGCGGAGAGTCGGTGGCAGAGGGGTGCTCAGGGACGTGCCCAAGGTCACATGGGGAGTCGGGTCGCAGGCGGTGTAAAGGGACGTGCCCAAGGTCACATGGGGTGTCAGTGGCAGAGCCAGGGATCGCCCCCCCCCCGCCGGGCATCAGAAGGTGGGGC